AGATACTAGTAAGTATAGACTTAAATACTTTAATACTATTATTAAAAGCTAGTTATAATACCTGGTTATCTAGAAATAATAATACCTATAAAATAAGGCTAGTAAGTAGTAATAAACTAATTATAATCTATAATAGCCTATTCTTAGATATATAATTAAAGGCGCCTTTAATATCTAGGAAGAAAGTACTAGTTTTTAGCTTATAGAACTTATTAGCTTCTATTTTATTTTATAATAGTAAAGTAGTATTAATAGCTAACTTATAGAGCCTATCTCCTATTTGGGAGCAGTATAGTAAGTTATTAGTCTCGGCTAAATAACTAAGTTACCTAGCTAGTATTTTTTTAGAAACCTTCCCTAAGTAATTAAGTAGGGAAATAACTTAATATACTTTAGGTAAGAAATAGTTTGGTTTCCCTAATTTCTTTAGAATAAAGCTAATAGCTTATTTCCAGACTTTAGAATAATATCCTTTATTAATAAATAAGAAATATAGCCTATAAAAAATATCTAGAGAAGCTTTATAAATATAAACTATAATCTCTTAAATAACTAAGTCTAGTTCTAGAGTTTTCTCCTTTATCTTAGAAATATATACTTACTCTAGCTCTATTTTAGATAAAATAGGCCAGTTCTACTTTAAACTAGGCCTATAGTTTATTAAGCTAATAGGCTTAGTATTAGGGAATAATAGAAAAAGTATAATTCTAAAGATATTATTATTTTTTTTTTCTTCTTTTAACGTGCTTTATTAGTTTAGAACTATGTAGCACGGCCAGCTAAGCTAGCGTGTGTTTCAGTAGCTAATATACAGGCCCAAATTCCAATATAGGTGTAATAAATGGTTGGGGACGTACCCCTGAAATAAAAACTTAAGGAAATAAAGAAAATGAGTATAAATCGCAATTCCTCTCCTATTCCCTATTTCCCTTTTCCTTTTTCCCTATTCCCCTTCTCCTATTTCCTCCCCTATTTCCTCCCCTATTTCCTCCCCTATTTCCTCCCCTATTTCCTCCCCTATTTCCTCCCCTATTTCCTCTCCTATTTCCACTTCTTCTACTTCCACGCTTCGCTCAATATGCCATTTTCTTATATATATACTAGTTTCTTTTAAGAATACTAGTATATTTGATATCCCAATTTCCGTATGTAATAGCAACCGTAGGTTAAAAGCACTAGCTTCCAAGCTCCCTTTAAATAGACTAAATAGTCTAAAACGTTCCTCTCTATATAGCATATAATATAGAAGGAGGTGCTTTGTATTCTCAGTTTTGCCACATTTGCATTTGTTATTAGACGCTATTTTTAGCCTATATAAATAGGACTTTAAATATCCGTGGCCTAGCTTTAGCTAGAAGAAGGCACTAGCTATAGGCCTAAGTATTCCCATAGGTAGGTTTATTTTTCTGGTTACTTTCCACGGATATATATTACTATATGATTCTAGCTAGGTTTTCGGTTTAGTATAAGATTCTAAAAGTAGTCTATACTCTAGTTTCTTAACTTTATTAATTTCGACCCCTAGGAAAGCAAAGGAGGTTTTTACTAATTCAGGTTCTAATATAGGAGAAGTAGTGCCTAGCTTAGCTAGTTCGTCTGCTTCTTTGTTCCCTATTATATCTGTATGCCCTGGAACCCAGATTAGTTCTATATTAGCTCCTTTAGCTTTAAGGGCCTTAGTAGCTAGTATAGCTCTAATCTATTAACTTTGTCCTGGCTTATTAGAAGGAGTTTTTAATCTTAGTAAACTAGCTTGGTTATCTATATAGATATTATAAAGCTCCCCTCTCTTTGCTTTACTACTAGCATATTTAATAGCCCTAGTAACGCCTTCTAGTTCTCTATTATAGACTATAGTACTAGCTCCTATATTCTGGCTTTCTCTATATTTAGCTACGACCGGAATATAAGGAGTTTCGTGACTATAAACTGCGAGCCCTAGGCCTACTCCGATTCCTTTTTCAGTCTGAGATCCGTCTGTATATATAGATAGTACGGAGCTATTATTATATAAAGTCTTCAGATAGAGATTATGTAATATAGCAGTCTCTTCCTTTGGCTGTTTTGATATAGTGATTTTATAAGGTACTTCTCTGTTCCAGGGAGCAAAGTAAAAGTGTCTTATAGTCTCTAGATCTCTAGGGTCTACTAGATTACTAATAGAATCCACTATAGTTTCTATTTGAGACTTTTTAGCCAAGCAATCTCGCTTTAGATCAGTATTTAGACTATAAATAGAGTCTATATCAGATTCTATTACTTCTAAATCCCTAGATCTTTGGAAGGACTTCTCGAACTCTAGTCTAATAGGGTGTTTTAGACTTAGTTTAAGGATTCGGAAGGCATATCGACGTCGACTATGGTTTAGCCTTATAATAGGTGGAGCTAAAGCTAATTCGACCTCCATAGGAATAATAGGGGCAGTTTTAAATACTCCTAAAGTCTTCCTTAGGGCTAGGTTTTGAATAGCCTGTAAAGGCCGAATCTGAGCTTTATTTTCAGTCTTCCACTATAGTATAGAACCATAGTCCATTACACTAGTAATACAGGCTAAATATAGCTGTCTAATTGCAAAAGGGGATAAACCGCGTGATATATTTGTAAGTCTCTGTACCCTATAAAAGGCTTGTTTTGCTTTGGAAGCCCTATAGGCTATATGTTCCTTAAATCTGAGGTTTTCATTGAAATAGATCCCTAGCCATTTGACTACTTTGCTAGGGGAAACTAGTTCCCTATTAGGTAGTTTTAGACTAGGCTTATTTTTGGAATTATTAAAATGAATAAGCTCAGTTTTATCTATATTAAAGCTAATAGCATTCTTTTTCCCTAAATCGACTATATCCTTTACTTCCCGTTCTAGGGTCTTTATATTCTTTTTAAGACTTTTAGAAGCGGTAGTAAGGGATATATTATCTAAATAGGATCTGAATTTAATATTTGCAGATTTAAATAAGTCTCGGATATAGATAAGGAATAGTATAGGGGATATAGGGCTCCCTTGTGGAATGCTAGTAAGTATAGACCTAAATGCTTTAATATTATTATTAAAAGCTAGCCTTAATACCCGGTCGTCTAGGAATGACGATACCCATAGAATAAGGCTAGTAGGTAGTAGTAAACTAATCATAATCTGTAATAGCCTATTCTTGGACACGTGATCGAAGGCGCCTTTGATATCTAGGAAGAGAGTACTAGTTTTCAGCTTATAGGACTTATTTAATTCTACTTCATTTTGTAATAGTAGAGCAGTATTAATAGCTGACTTGTGGAGCCTACCTCCCATTTGAGTATGGTGCAGTAGGTTACTAGTCTCGGCTAAATAGCTAAGTCGCCTAGCTAGTATTCTCTCAGAAACCTTCCCTAAGCAATTAAGTAGGGAAATAACTCGATATGCTTTAGGTAGGGAATAGTTTGGTTTCCCTGATTTCTTTAGAATAAAGCCAGTAGCTTGTTTCCAGACTTTAGGGTAGTATTCCTTATTAATAAATAAGGAATATAGCCTATAAAAGATATCTGGAGAAGCTCTATAAGCGTGGACTATAATCTCTTGAGTAACTAAGTCTGGTCCAGGGGTTTTCCCTTTTATCTTAGAAGTACAGGCTTATTCTAGTTCTATTTTAGATAAAATAGGCCAGTCCCACTTTGAGCTAGGCCTATAGTCTATTAGACTAATAGGTGCTGCACTAGGAGGGGGTGGGAAAAGCACAGTTCTAAAGATATTACACTTCTCTTGGAAAGTCGATTTTAGCTCATTTGAGCTATTACTATTTAGGATACTAGGAATAGGTTGATATATAGTATCCTTAGTATATTTCATAGCTTTATAAATTGACTGGGAGTCTTTATTCTCTAAGAACTTATTCCAGTGTGCTAGTTTAGTGCTTTTAATAGCATTAAAATAGGTATTCTTTGCATTTTGGAGTTCTTGTTTATAGAGAGTATACCCTGAAGCTTTATACTTACGGCTATAGTATAGCATTGATTTACGTAAGGTTTTTAAGTCTTCATTCCACTAGGGTTTAGAATACGGACTAGTAGTAGATTTTGGAATACTATTACTAGCTGCTTCTACTATTCTATTAGTAAAGTCTTCTGCTAATAGGTCTAGTTCCTGGGTTCCAGGTATACTAGTAAGTGGAAAGGGCATATTCTCAAGGCTATTAGTGAGATAGCTTGTAAATTTAGCCCAGTCCGCTTTTTTAGTATTAAATCTGACTGGATTAGAACTAGGCCTATAAGTCGACTTACTAATAGTAAATAGCACCCCAAAGTGATCTGAACCTAAGTCTGGTAGCACTTGCCAGTCTTTGATCTTAGTTACTATTCCACTAGTAGCAAAACTTAAGTCTAATACGGAAGGAATGGACATATTAGGCCTATAGAAGGTACCTTCCCCTATTTTATTTAATAGCCTTAAAGAGTGGTTCTCTATATAGCTAATTAAATGGATTGCATGAGTGCTTTGAGGTTTAAGGGGATCCCACCAAGGATGATGCGTATTAAAATCGCCTAGTAATAGAGAGCTATCTAAGAGAGTAGTAGGTAAAATATCCTCTCTTAGTATAGTTAATATACTATTAGGGTCTTCTGGGTAAACTGTATTATAGAAATTAATTAGCTGCATTTTTAGTACACCTAGACTCAAGTCTATAATTAGGTAATCAGGATCACTTGGTGAGTTTTGAGCTAGACTAGCCTGTAGTTCGCGAGCTATGTAAACTAGAGTTCTAGGTCTCAAGGTACTGTAATTCGGGAGTATTTGGAAATAGCTAGGGTGTATAATGGAATGATATCCCCGATTAGTACTATCCCTTGCTATAATCCAGGGCTCTTGAATTACTAGGACTTTAATATCCAGTTCTATAGCCATTTGCAAGACGTTTTCAGTAGTAGGGCCACTACGATTTATATTAATTTGTAGTACTTTAATATAGCTACTCATTAATAGTAATAGTAGGAGTAGTAGCAGCTTGTTTGATTGCTAAGTAGACCTCACATAGCTTAGAACTAGCTAAGTGGGTAGTACTAGAGCAGTTGGCGCATTTAGTAGTCACGTGGGGGCATTTTTTACCCTTCTTTTTACAGATAGAGCAGAAATGATTCTCTGTCACGTGCTCCTCACTATATAGCAAATACTTAGGGTCTTTTTTGCAAATAGAGTCTAAGTGCCCGTACCCTGCACACTTAGTACACTGCGCAGTGCTAGAGATAGTATGGTATTTTACTACTTTAGCAGAGATTCCGGCTATAAGGAGTCTGTTTTTAATAGCTCTATTAGCTTGAATCTCGGTAGGGAATGCTACTACTACTGAACCGGCTCGCTGGAGGCCTGAGTCTCTCTTTTCCTTAGAAGTAGCCCAATAGGGCTGGCCAATAGGCTCTAGACCCTTATTAAAGGTCTTGATCTCTTCTAGGACTAAGTCCATTCCTTCGGGTATATCGAACTCACGAATAGGTAGACCGTGGATAATAACTTTATACCAGGGCTCTCCTTTTTATATGCTTTTTACTAAGGGAAGTACCCCCTTTATAGTAGCTTCGTTTTGAACCAAAAAGTCAGAGTTGAACTCAGGGGTAGTATTAACTATAATATTACCCTTTGAGGAAAGAGAGACTATAGAGATTACTAGTCCCTTGATTCCCTTAGCGCGGAAAGCATTATTAAGCAAATTGCGGACGGAAATAGCTGAAAACAAGCTAGCCTGCTCTATATGAGCTAGTAGGAAGGTGCTTTTCCTAGAGAGGGCTATAGATTTTGTACTAGTATTACGGGCACTAGAACCACTAGGTGGTTTCTTAGTGTCACGAGCACTACCGCCACTAGTAAGTGTACTAGGGCCTTTTCCTCCCTGATTTTTGGACTTAGTGTGTGATACTATAGTCCAGTCCTTTTCCGAGTGTGGTAGTTCTTGAGTAGCGATTTTAGCCCAAGTAGGCTTTCCGGAGGTAGTTTTAGCTTGAATAGCTTGAGTATCTGGTTTAGCTTGAGTTCTTGCTTGAATTTCGATCCGTTTAGTAGTATTTTCGAGGTTTGCTACTTGGGAGGCTAGTAAAGTACTAGTATGGCGGATGCGGCCGAATTCAGTGTATTCTCTGAAGATTTCTACTAGATCTAGTAGTCGAGATTGCTGGTCATGTGACGGAGTAATAGTAATAGCTTTGACTATTAAGTCCCGGGCTTGACGAATCAGTAATTTAGCTTCGTTTGAAGCTTGATTCTGGTACTGGTGGTGGTTTCCGTGGTTTTGGTGTTCCTTATCAATATTACTATTGATATCGCTCGAGCTAGGGCCCCGCTTTAGCCCGTTCTGGAGGCGGCTCAGTCGAGCCGCACTAGCCGAATTAGGCTGAGGAAAAGGGGCTGCGAGTTCGTCTAAAGAGATAGGATTTATAGCTAAATCAAATGCGAATTGAGCTCCCTGGCTAAACCGAGCTAGTAGGGAGCTAGTAAGTAGGTCTAGCTATTTGCTAGGGCCCTCTGGAAGGTCTCCGAGCTCTTAAAAGTCAATGGGAGGGGGGCTAGAGCCCGGAGAGTCAGGGGGGGCCATTTAGCCTATTCTAGCTCTACTTATAATAAGTTCTAGAGCCTGGGGCCAAAGGGCTAGAGTATATTAAGTGAGTTCTAAAGGTAGGTAAAGTATGGGTATAAAAGTAAGGGAAGTAAAAAAACCGGTAGATATCTCCTATTAAATAGCCTATTGAGTTCTAGCTATTATAAAAGTATAAAAGTAGTAAATCTTACAGATAGTATAGTTCTAAATAGAAATAGTATATCTAAGTACTTTTCTATTTATTATTTCTAAAGAAAGCTAGTATTTTAGTAGCGAAAATTAGTAATTAGTATTAAGCTTTAAAATAATATTACTTATTAATTCTGTATTTTCTTTCTGGCTTTATTAACTTTTCCTTATAAAATCCCGGATATAGCTATTATATATATAAATAAATACTTTATAATTCCCTTTCTTTTTTCATTCTTTACTAATCTCCTTTAACTAGTACTATAATATTTCCTTTTCTTTTCTAACTCCTGCTTTATTTAGCTTTCTTTCTTATAATAATTTCCTATAAAATACTTTCTTTTTTCAGAAAACCGAACTCTCTTTTATATATATTAGATAATAGATATAAAACTATAGTATTTATAAAATTATTAACTTTTTTCAAATAAAAAGTATTTTACTATTTTTTTTCTAATATTCTATACTTCTTTTCTAATATTTTAAAAATAAGCTACTAAGTATTATTTCCTTATTTCCTAGTTCTTTATATATTTCTAATTCTTCTTTTCTTTTTTCTTAAAGAATTACCTATTCTTTTTATAATAAATTAAGAAAATATATTTCCTGCTTTTCTCTTTTATCTAATATTTATCTAATATTCTCTTTTATTTCTTTCTAGAATAATCCGTTCTCTTTTCTATATAACTCTTCTATATTATTTCCCGCTTTCTACTATATTTATTTTATTCTCTAACTCTTCCGAATTACTTTTCTTATAATATAATTCCTATATTCTTTTACTTTATTTTTCTTTCTATAATAACTTCTTCTTTTAAATACCTTTATCTATATCCGGCCTCTATATCTATTAACTACTTTTATTACTTTTTTACTATTTAAGCTTTTCTTTCTAATATTCCGTTTATTATAACTAACTCTAAAAAATACTTCCTTTATTATTCTACTAGCTTATAAGCCGCCTATAAAAATAAATAATAGTATTATAATATTAAATAAGCAGGTAATATATCTCTTTTTATTTTTATATAATTCCCTTCTTATAATTTTCTTCTTCTAATAGATTTTATTTTATATATCTATAGATCTTATTTTAGTCTCTAGTATTTATTTTAAAGCTAACTATATTCTTTATAACTATAATAATAAATACTTCTTTATAGATAGTAATTATAATTTATTTAATATTTAAGAATTTAGTATAGTAGTTATATAAGGCTTTAAAGTTAATTAACTTAATAATAAAGCCTATATAAGATATTAAAATATTACTAAGTTCTAATATTTTAAAGTTTACTATTAATGCCTTTTTTATACTAGTACTTATACTAACTATTTTTAAATGTATTATAAAAATAAATATTCTTTTTATATAATTTTCCTCTTCTAAATTCTATTTAAATTCAAGTTCTAATAGTAGTAGATTCTAATTTCTAATTCTTATATACTAGTATTTAATAAAAGTAACTTCCTCTTTTACTAAATTCCGGCTATAATATAAATATAAGAGCTTTAAATATAGCTAATAGAATAAAGCTAAATAAGAATATTACTTCTAACTATTTTCTACTTTATTATTCTTAAGAATTTAGGGCTATAGGTTAAGAAACTTGCAATATCTTCTAGTAATTAAATATAATTAATCTTTTATTTACTAGTATTCTTTATTAACTTTCTCTTATAAAATTCTATTTATAGCTATTATATATATAAATAAATACCTATATATTAATTTCAAATTTCTCTTTTTTTATATTTTTTAATCTCAGTTAACTAATAATATAATATCTTTTTTTCTTTTCTAACTCTCTTATTATTCTTAAGATTTTCTAATTATAATAAAATATAAGAAATATTCTTCTATATAAAAGAAATACTCGATTTATATATAGCTACTTTCCTTAATAGTACCTTTCTTTTACTTTTCTTTATTCTCTCCTTTAAGGCCCAATAATTACTATAAAACTAGCTCTAGCCAAAATATAAGTTTAATTTCTTTTCCTTATAATCTCTTTCTTTCTTCTTTACTACTCTTATTAAATTATAATCTGGTTTTTCCGGTCCGAATTAATATTCTTCTTCTCTAAAATACTAATCTCTATATCCGGAAATAGTACTTTTTTATAAATATTAGATTTCCTTTAAACTAGGCTATAGATCTGCTCTAATACTTTTTTATTCCGGTAATATAGATTATATAAGATTTCTGAGATAGTATTATAAAAGACAAACTTCTTAAAACGGCTTATAATTATAGTTTTTACTTAAAGAATACTATCTAGTTCTATAATTATAAAAGTACTAATTATCTAGCTAGCTCTAAAGATTCTAAATAGTTCTTTCTAGTAATAATAAAGCTTTAATAAATGGTTGTTTTCTAGCCTAATATTATAAAGAAAAATAATATCTCTAATAGAAAAATATCCGAATAGCCTTAAAATATAGGTATTATTAAATACTTCCTTTTTATATTTCTAATAGTAATATATTACTAAAAGTACTTTATTTAGATCTATATTTCTTTACTTAAATTATTATTATATATATAATAAGTAAGTTAGAAATAGAAGAAACTTTATATTATAGTAATATATTTCAAGTTAAATAGTTCAGATTTATTAGTAAAAGACTTTCTCGATTTCTTTTAAAATAAAAGAGTATATAACTAGTAGTAACTTTAGCTATTATTTAATTAGCCTAAAATATAGCTAGAAAATGAAAAACCCAATTATTAATACTATCTTTAATAGCTTTAGTTAGAATAGTAATTATAGGCTTATATTTCCTTTTAATTATTCTATTAGCTAGAGAATTAAAAGTAAAAGTAATAATATAATAGATTCCGTATATTATTATAAGCTCTTTTATAATAGTATTATTATTCTCCGGTCTCCTATCTATAACTAGCTTTAGAAAAACTCTATATCTGTAAATAATATCTTTGAAAATAAACCGAATAATTAATCGAATATTAGTATTCTTTAGTACTCTTTCTTTAATTCATTTCGAGCCTTTTTCTCTAGCTAGTACTAGCTTGTTTTTATTAAAATATAAAGGTATATAAACTATATCTAAAGCTACTTTATATTATAATACTTGTATTTAAATAGAATATAGCTTACTTTTTATTCTTATATAAGCTATAAATTAATATTACTTGTAATTCTTAATATATATTTTAATATATATTTTTATATTTTTATATTATTTATTTTACTAAAAACGGTTTATAACTTTATAGAAAGTAGCCTCTTTAAACTTATAACTCTTAATTTTATAAGTTATTATCTTAATATTTTCTTGCTCTTTTAGGAAATTAATTATCTTTTTTAGATATATCTTAATTTCGCCAGAAAAGTATCTTATTTTATATAAAGAACTTAATAGTATTATTCTTAAATAGCTAATATTCTATAGTATTTTATTTTACTAGCCAAATAAGTATAATAAGTTAGTAAATATATTATTAGTAATATATAAAATAAAAGCTTTCTAGATAAAAGTTTATTTCGGGTTATTTCTTTATAATAATAATTAAATAAAAATAAAAATTCTAGGTAAGTAATATTAAGCTAGAAATATAGATAGATATAATTCTTAGAAAGAATAATTAGATATTTATAAAATCTTTAATATTTTCTTTCTTTTTCTTTTTCTTTACTTCCAGAATTATATATAGTTAATATAATAAATTATCTATTACTATATACTTCTTTTCTAATATATACTTAATATTAAAGTTAAATAGGTAAATCTAAGTAATTTATCTTATAAGTAATAATCCGAATAGATTCAAAATAGTACTATTAAATTATATAACTAGAATATTTATATTAATTTCTAAAAGAAACTTTATTTTATAGAGCTAACTATAGTATTTTATAAATACCTTTAAAACCCTTTTATATTTATACTTTATAGTATTATAAGATGCCTTAACTCGATTCTAATAATTACTTTTATATTATACGGGATAGTACTTTCTATTATATTAGCCAATCTATATTAAAACTATACTTTATTTAATAAGACTAGTATTTACTATAAGAATAATTAATCCGGTATCTAGTAAAAAGTTTAATATAACTAATATAGAAAAAGAGGTTAAAAGAGTTTTAAGGGTATCTATTATAAGCTAGTATTTATATATCTAGATAAATACCTAATTTTTCCGGAAAAGTTTATAAATAGAAGCTATAATTTTAATAAAGCAAGTAATTTAGATTCAATAATAAATATAAATACTAATAAAAGTACAGGCTTATATAATATTTTAAAGAACTAGCTATTTTAGAATTTTAATAATTTTTGCGGTTTCCGGTAGTTTTTCTTTAAAAGAATAAATATAACTAATAATTTAAATACTATTTATATACTATTATAATTTTGGGCCGGATATAATTAATCTAGTATACTCTAGTAATATAAGAACCTAATCCAAGTTCTAAATATATTCTTATATAAATCTTTAGATATTAAACAAGTTTTTAGTATTATTATAAATAGTAATAGAACTCCGAACTTTAATATTATTAAAGTAAGCTATATAAACTAATAGTATTAAATCTTAAAAAATATAGTATATAATTCGAATAAACTAAATAACTGAATTTATATTTCTTTAGAGAATTCTAA